TATCTGATATGGTATTGAATAGATGTCAAATTGTGGCCTATAAATAACCACCATAATCACAATCTACTCCAAGATTTCAGACACCAGAACCGGCGCTAGTTCCTAATCATTCTAATTTCACTTCTATTCATACTTTCTAAATAAATATATTCCCAATTCTAAAAATATTTTATTTCTTTTCATCTCCTAAATTGTCTGAGATTGCTCTGAAAGAATTCTAAAAGAACATTGACCTGCACTTTTCTATTCACAGTATGTTCAAAGTTTGAATAAAAGTTAAAAAGGCAGCTCTATTGATGAAATTGAATGGCGTCTCATATAATCATCAGACATACACTGTAGCAATTTAATAGTCAAAAATAAGATAGAAAGCCCCCCCTCCCCCCTCTTTTGACTTAATATTGGAAGAGTCCGACTCCTGACATTAGTATTTTTAAAATCATTAGATTCCATTATAGGTTCATTAAGTTTTCAAAATTTTGGGGTTGGATACACCTCCTAATTCAACCAAAATATTCAGCTGATGCATCTGCTTTTTCTTGATTACAACTTTCAAGCTTTGACCAGTTTTATACCATACCATTTTTTCCTCAACTACCAAACCAACAGTGAATCATCAGCCAAATGAATCAATGCAACTTCAACTACCTAGTTTGTGATATCAGTATCTTCCAACCAACCACAAACCATACAGAGACTTTCTTCAAAGAGCTGAGTAGTGTCAATATCAATGTGAGGTAAACAATACTATCAAGAAACTAGCATTGAGTACTTGTAACTTGGTAATTACAAGATTAATTAGTAGATACTGACTAGTAGTAAATCATAGTTCACAGTAATCAGTAGAAAACAGTTTTACTAATTGATAATAATTCACATTATATAATGATGACTTGAAATATATTCAACAGCTGCAAGTTGTATAGTTCACAATAGGAATTAACGTTAATCAACTTAGAAGATAGCTAAAATGGCGTTTGCACCTTGCTATTCTGCCGGGAAATTAGACACATGGATCAATTTTTTTAAATTAACAGAGAGCCCAGAGGAAGTGCTCTGAAGATCAGCTGCCTTAACCATGTCCATGATGGTGGGTAACAATTCTTGCATTGAGCCTTGTTGCTTAATGTGAACCTCACTTATCTAAACAATAAAAAATGCTCCTAGTAGGAGGGACACTTAAGTACAGATAATATTGATTTCAACATGAAATCAAAATATTGTTCTAACGTGTAAAATCAAATATTATATGTGCAACTCATAAAGTTACACTGGAATATGATTCTATTAAGAAGATCCATTAAAACTCAATTGTGTTCACCAATCTATCATTTTATCTAAAGTTAGGATTTTCCCAGCTGGGTTGAACCTAATTTTATCATAGAAACAATCAAATGATTATTCTATTCCACCTTCATTTATGTAGATATAAATAACCATCCTCTGGGGAGCTCCTCCAACATCTAATTTACCGTACTACTATGCTGTATATTATGGTAATTGACTGAAAGTTAAAACACGACTTAATTCCTTCAGGGACAATCATTACCATTCTATATCTCACAGTAGAATAGAAATTGTGGTGAGATCTAAGCCAAAACTATTTTGATTAGTAGATAGGTCATTGTTATCATTTACATTTCAATTGGGCAGTTTCAATTAGATCAGACAATATAGTTTGTGTAAAAAGAAACTTTATTGGAATGTTTTGATCTGACCAATTGATTTGGTATTATATATAGAGGTAAACTCATTGAACAGGGTTTCCGTATCAAATTGATGATTGGAAGATTACATTCATGTACCAGGACGGCACCACCAGGATAATGTTCAAACTTAAAACAAACTGCAAGAAGACTTTTATATTCATCAGAATTTTTGTAGATTACTGGTAGAATTTTTATGTTCAAAGCTCAATATTTACATTGTCAAACAAGCAGAAATAGTGTTCACAGCTCAACGTTGAAATCTTAGCTTACAAAACCATGTGTATACAGAATTATCCGTGTTTGTTAAAAACTTTGTTTGAAGTATATTTGGAGGAATTATGCTATTTATGTGCAGTTCTAGTAGTTCTGAAGACTATTTACATATATATTCAATACTCAAATCAACCCTCAAAATTGGTGAACCAAGGCCTTTAACACAAACTGAGCCCTGTCTGACCAAGCAGTAGTGCATTAAGTTAACATTTTAACCAATGCATAGAATAAAAAAGGAAGTTAGACTTCTTAAAACCATACTGTTATTTGTTTTAGAAATTTTCTAAGTCAAAATGAGATAATAGTTTACATGTATAAGGACAGAAATTGGTAATGAATTTTTTATGATATACTAAGATATCTGACAGTAAAACTTAATGAACAACTTTACTGTACTATGTCAATATTTGAACTTTGTGTACTTATTCTAAACATATCCATTATGTGAACTGTCTTCAGCAAAGAATAGGTGAGACATAATGATTTTAACTATAGATCCCAGTCTTTTTTACCCGCGTAATAGTTTTTACCATTTTACACTATCTTTTGGTATTCCCCTACATACCATGAGAAAAAACATGAAGTTCTATCTAATCTTAAAGATCCTAGAGTGAGAAGAGGGACCAAGCCCTTAACCGAAACCCACAATTTTTTAACATAGTTGAATTCCTGCTAATGATGTTATAACTAGATTTCTACATTAATCTAAGAGGTTTGCTTCTCTGGTGCCTTCAATGGTGTTGCTGCTACACCCAATAAGTACCCCAAGATGTTATCTAGGAATTAAAAGGGATTGTAAATTGGTACTCTAAATTTTCAATGTGTCCCAATACAATGATTTGCACCATTCCATATTTCAATTAGATGTCTGTGCTTCTTGCAATTCTACAAATTTTGGAATGGTTCAATTCAGTGCTTTTGTTGTCCCTGATATGCAAAAAAGTAATAAAACCTTTTTACAATCCCTTCATAAATTGATTCAAGAAAAAGATTTAACTTCAGTATGATATCACTAATGACTTACCTTTCTGGAAGTCCATGATGTATAAAATCCAAATCACATTAACACTTTTAATAAAATACAATATAACAATAGTCACAGTATAATTACACAATACACAATAACTTTCATATTAGTTATAGTCCATTTATTATTTGGCACTTGTCTTCAGTTATAAGGAAAGAGTCCAAATGGAATTATTTTTGCACAAGATCACAGAATAATTTAAGGCACTTGTTCACAGATTGAAAGTGGCAATCACATTTAGAGAATATGTCTTATCACGGGAATGAAATGAGTCTATAATGTATATTTATTTTATTAAGATAAGTAATAATGGTTTCAGATACGTCTACAATTGTCAGACGGCATCAAACTTCTGACATTCCAATCACTCTAAAACATCAGGAATAATGAAATTAAGATACCAATACACTCACTTTCTAATTATATGCTTCGTTAGCATTTCAATATCTCAATTGCAAATGTCAATTAAAAATTAGAAAACGAGTAAATTCGAGAACACAACTGCTCATTACCATCTATAATGCTCTCAACCTGGTAGGCTATATATATTTATCTATCACTAAAAAAAAACCTCCATGAATTAACTGATACCTAATCACTCAAAACTCAAGCCACACTTTTCTTGCTCATTAAATTCACTTTTTATTACGTTTTGTTAACATATTCCTCCTTTTTATTTCCAATGTAATAATAGGCTTCAGAAGACATGTGTGTCCATCATTCTCAACTTTACACCTCATAAAAACACCAAATTTACGTATAATCGTTTCTCCTCTGGATTTCCTGCCTCACAAAATCTTTATCAATACCCTTTCACAATTTTTATAATATCAGAATCCTTATGTATAAAAAATTTGGAAGCCAGGCACAAACACTAAGTCTGCTTATAATTATATTGCGTCTGCTCTGGATTTTCCTGCTTTTTGAAATCTCCTTAAAAACAACTTTTCCGAACTTTTCAAACTTATAAGCAGTCTAAGAACACTGTAAGAAGACAAACACAATTAAACAAAATTTGCTTATAATCAAATTGCGTCTGCTCTGAATTTTACTACCTTTTGAATCTCCTTATATAAGCTTACAACTTCTCCAAACTTATATTATAATCCGTTTTGTTTGTATGTTAATAATAGCTTTGTGAAGACAAGCATATATGCCAAATGATTAATCATGTTTTTGGTTTCACATAGTTTCAGAATTTGCCTGCCTTACAAAATCTCCAATAAAGTATTGAAAATAAATCATAACTTGAAAAACATCTGTCACATTAGATTGTACTTGAATAACCCAAAAGAAATGAATGAATTCTCCATTACTCTACTATTGCTATTCAGATATTTAATCAACACTAAAGGCCTATTAATGTAATAAATATTTCCAATAGACCCAGCATCAAGTAGACTGCTGTTCTTCTCTACCAATATCTCCTTAATTCAATATCCAATTTCCATGGGATAATTTATGCGCATATTTTATTATTTACTATACATATCACTTCTTATGAAATATAACTTAATCTATTTTCAATATATGTTAGGTTTATCAATACATTATATTACTTATTCACATGGACCTAATTGGTCATTTGTTTTATATATCTTTTCAAATATATGTTACATTTTTCAGCCTTTTAAATTTATCACTTGTACCATTAAGTCTTTCAAATATATCACTTTTATTATTCAGACCTTCAAATATATCACAAATATATTTTGACTTTCATTATTTAGACCTTCAAATATATCACTTTCATTATTCAGACCTTCAAATATATCACTTTCATTATTCAGATCTTCAAATATATCACTTTCATTATTTAGACCTTCAAATATATCACTTTCATTATTCAGACCTTCAAATATATCACTTTTATTATTCAGACCTTCAAATATATCACTTTTATTATTCAGACCTTCAAATATATCACTTTCATTATTCAGACCTTCAAATATATCACTTTTATTATTCAGACCTTCAAATATATCACAAATATGTCATCACTTTCATTATTCAGATCTTCAAATATATCACTTTTATTATTCAGACCTTCAAATATATCACTTTCATTATTCAGACCTTCAAATATATCACTTTTATTATTCAGGCCTTCAAATATATCACTTTTATTATTCAGGCCATTAAATATATCACTTTTATTATTCAGACCTTCAAATATATCACTTTCATTATTCAGACCTTCAAATATATCACTTTTATTATTCAGACCTTCAAATATATCACTTTCATTATTCAGACCTTCAAATATATCACTTTCATTATTCAGATCTTCAAATATAACACTTTCATTATTCAGATCTTCAAATATATCACTTTCATTATTCAGATCTTCAAATATATCACTTTCATTATTTAGACCTTCAAATATATCACTATCATTATTCAGACCTTCAAATATATCTCTTTTATTATTCAGACCTTCAAATATATCACTTTCATTATTCAGGCCATTAAATATATCACTTTCATTATTCAGACCTTCAAATATATCACTTTCATTATTCAGACCTTCAAATATATCACTTTCATTATTCAGACTTTCAAATATATCACAAATATATCATCACTTTCATTATTTAGACCTTCAAACATATCACTTTTATTATTCAGACCTTCAAATATGTACCAGATTAACAGGTTCAGGTAAAGTACCAGATTAACAGATTCAGGTAAAGTACCAGATTAACAGATTCAGGTAAAGTACCAGATTAACAGGTTCAGGTAAAGTATCAGAAGAACAGTTTCAGAATAAGTACATTTTCAGAAAAAAAGATCTTTTAAAAAGCAAAAGCAATCAGTTCCGAAAGGCACAAGAACTGCCAATATCAAAGGCCAACGTTCAAATAACTTTGTAAGTCCACATTTGAAGTCCAACACCTTTCATGCAAATCCTAACAGATAACTATTCACACAAGGCAATGAAAGTTAATACTAATTGATCACATTTTGACATGATTCAAATCAATGGTCATAATCCCACATAAAATCTATATCAAATACCAACACTTTATATTGAATATTGATACAAAACCCATGTGTGTACTTAGATTTACTAGGTCATAGTTATCATAACATCTGAAAACACCACATATCCATCTGAATATGATAAGAAAAATAACAATTCATGAAGCATGACACAAAGTTTCTTTCATAAAATTTTTATCTACCATATAACTTGCATGAGGTGAGAAAATTACAATACTAGAATGCATGTTATTATTAAAGCTAAAAGGAAAATGAAGGATTTTTCAATACCATTCCATTAATAAATACTTATTTTAGGGATTTAGGAAAGAATCACTATAAAAAACATATTAACGTTAAAGAACACACTATGCTAGGTAATGATTCCAATGATTCACACAACTTTTCAAGAAATTATTTCCGCTTTCAGATATACAAAAGATATATGGTCAAACTTTATGAATGGATATGAGCCCACTGCATATATGAATACAAAAAAAACAGCAAATACAGCACAAAACTATCAATGTAAATGAAGACAATGACAATATGAATTAGAAAAGAAACCACTAAGATGTTTTAATTAAATAGTTGTTCCTTTTTCAATTAAGTTGATGTGTTCTAATTCAATTGGTATCTACTCCTCCATCACAATTAAACCATTTTTAAAACATTTGTATTCAACAAAGATTTCTTCAAATTCTTCACACATTCTTTTATTGTAAATTAAAGCCACAAGCCACACTACCATTTCTACTAGTACAGAAATAAAAGTACAGAAAAAATCCTTTGCATTCGAATGCATATACTTATTCTTAATTCCATCAATTCTGTCACGCAACTGTTTCTTTATTTATATTGAAGTGCATTTGCTTCCATCAATTCAAATTGTAAAGTGCAGAAAGATAGTCACAAGTATTCTCTTTTTTTCAAAATAACCAATCAAAACTTCAATTACATCAGCTTATTTTCATTTCCATTCCTTCATTAATATAAACTTTTTTCCCCTCCATATCTCCATATTAATGCATCAAAATATCACATCCATTGAAACAAAAGAGCAGAAAAGAATATTTCAACAAAACCACAAGTGGGATCTTCTCCAAAAGGTAAACTAACCAAAAAACCAACTGATTTCAATTAGGTAGCCTACTTTTAGCTAATACTGGAATCTCTCCAATTCCATTAGAATATCAAAACTGTAAGTCCTCTGTCCACAAAGTTTTAACAGTGCAGCAAAGAATTGCCGAAACTACATGAATAGCATTTTCGAAAGGTGATCCTGTTTCCAGATCAATTAAAAGAACAAATTCCACCAGTACCTATCCAAATTACAATCCATAAGTCAGTCTGACAAAATCAATGAAGCAAACCAATCCACTGGACCAACTCAAGTAGAAAAAAAATTGAAACCCACAGTACAAACTTCATGAAAATTGTTGCTAGCTTCTTTCCATCCTCACACCAACTGCTAGCTTCTAATCATTGAAGGATATAATTTTCACCAATTCAATAGAGTATGTATTTTTTCTAATTCCGCGAGTCAATGGTAATTATTTCTATAATTATAGTCAATACAATATACCATGACATTTCCCCTACCAGTTCAATCCCAACATCTTTACTGTCGATTTCTCTATTCCACTAGTGTTTTTATTGGCTTATAATACTGTTCAAAATAATTAAAGAATGAGAAAGAGTAGTATCGGTTATATAGCTTCACTGTTTTCCCTTCCGCGGTTGTTACACATGAGCTAGAGATGTTAATGATAGCTTTTTCAGAACATAAGACAATGAATTTAATATTCTTAATTTAAGTTTTCAAAATGCTTATGAAATCAGCAATATCATTAAACCCTATCCAACACCAAATCCCAACTTCTAAACCCTATCAAATGTCAAATTTGTTTACTAAACACTATCTATACTGATAGCTTCAGACATTTGACCTTCCCAAAGTCAAATAACCCTTTTATGCTAACCCTTCAGTTCTATTCAAAGCCAAACTGCCATATCAAAGCTCTATCCAAAGCCAACATGTCACCACATACACTATTTTATTATCTTATGCCAAAATGACACCAAATATAAGCTCTATCCAATGTAAAATTGTTACTCCTTAATTTTATGGCCACTACTTAGCTCTATTCTAATGTAAACAATTACAGAAACTTTAAACAAAATCAGTAGCATTTTTATTGCCACCCGTTTGAATCATGCTTCCACTGATGCTTCCTGGAGATATTAAACATTAATAACACTCATAGAGACAACAAAATTGCAGAAAAAAGTTCACAGAGATCCATTTATAAGCGTTGACGTCATTTTGAAATACTTTCTCAGTATTACATGATGCAGCATTATTTTACATTCATATATAGCATTTCTTGCACATTATTAGTTTAACACAATAATGAAATGTTCTTAGTCTCATTTGTTATTTAAACAGCAATATAACCCAATATAAAAAAGTGCATTTCAGACCTAAGAATGGCTAAGAATTTTTCTACAATCCTTGTACTGCTTTCAATAGAACCTACTTACAAGTAAGACATTTTTGGAAGCACTACCAAAATCCATTTTCAGATTTTAAAGAAGAAACAATCCATTGGGTCTGCAAGAGACAGAGATTCCAAGACTTCAGAAATAAAAATTTGTGGAAATAAAAATTCCAGGTACGGATTATCGAAACTGTGTAACACTGAAATTTCAGCGCCAAATTATGGAAACTGATTAACTACAGAGGCTGATAGTTGTATCCTAAAATTATTGATCCAAAAGATATACACTTCACCTAACAACTCAAAACTTTCAAAACATTGATGACATCTTTACTTGCATTCAAACAATATGACGTCTGCATTCATTCAATGATCTTCCTACATTGAAAACTTGACTCAAAAATATCTTGTTTGTTTTCTCAAGAATCAGTCTTCTGCGAGGTGAATTATGGGTCAGTTTTTTTGGTAAGTATTTTTCGTAGCTTAGTCTACATTTCCTATTACAAAAACATTGTTAGAATAGTCAGGTAAAACCATGAAGTACTGATCGGTTGCCAAAGAACTTTTTCATGCCACACTTAATCTAAGTAACAACAATAGTAAACGGTACCTCAATATTTAACTAGTAATATCAGCCGCAATATAACATGGGGTGGGTGGGAGGAAGTTGAAATGACAGATAGGGTAAGAACAGGAAGTTGAAATGTAAGACGGGCGTTTCAGTACAAGAATGAAACCATTCTATGCAACAATGAATCATAGAAATGTTAAATCAATATAACAATACTAGAATATAGTTAAATTCAATACTGACATTTTACAATGGTTAAGTATAAAAAAAGTTGATGAAAAATTTCTTGAATGTGCTTTGTGAATCATCAAAAATCCACACGTTGACAACCAAACAGAAGTGAGCAACCCTACGGAAAACCCAAGTAAACAGTAGCAGCTTCAGGAGGGGCACATTTTCCTCCCCCCACCCCCCACAAAGGCAAAAGATTACAGATTTTAGGGGAAATATGCATTTCAGCATTGTAAACAGAAAGAATGCAGGGTTGAAGCATTCTGTTTACTCAAATTTCTCCCCAGAAAAAATTCGAAAACAAATTAGCAGTGACCATTCTCAATCCATAGTTCTGTAAATGAGGTCTTAGTATTAGCAATAAAACATCTTGAAATTGTAGCTCACGTCTCCAGACAAAGATTGAAATATAAGGGTTCCCTAGACTCATTGCCATTCTAGACAGAATAAAGTCAATAACAGTCAGTAAGAAATGGTGTTAAATCTATATCAACAATCCAAGTAGATAATTTCTTATAAAAGATAGACAATACTTTTTCTTTCTCAACATAGACTAGTCAATGGAATATTTGAGACTTGATTTTTATAAGAATATGTTCTGTTTTTTTTTTTTTAAATTTTCCTAATAAACTACAGTTCATTTTATTCTATAATGAAATGCCAATCCAAATCAATTTTAGAATCAAGAGACTTTTCAATAATAGGCACTGGCACAGTGTTAACATGATACTAGAGCTCTAGTTTTAATATATGTTGTTGGTGATTATCCTTCAAAATGAAATGAAATTAACTTTTCTTCTCCATATGGGTTAACAAAGCAGTGATGTCTCAATATAAGCATAGCTACCAGTGGGCGTATGTTACCTTACTTTGTAAACTATCTTTAATCTCTAAATAATGGAATGTATAACTTACTAAAACCCTCCTACCTATAAAAAGAATAATATAATATTAGAAAATAAACTCAATAATTTCCATATTTTATTGTTTATCTCTGTGGGACAGGCATGGAATTATATATTATTTTAATGGATTCTAAATTGAAAATATTATTTAACTAAACATCAAATATGATGAACCTATAAAACAAGCAATGTTCCCAGGGACACTTATACTCTCTTTATTCATCTTTATAGTTTGAAAAATTCAACTGAACCATAAAATTATCCTTTGGGATGTTTATTTAGTTCATATACAGTTTTTATTCCTTAAAAATGAGCCATATGAGGCTGCTGATTTGTTTCTGAGTTATAAGACAGAAATATGTATACATCAGGTCTACTGCTGACTTATCTGTGTTTGCCAGTCATGTATGATTGGAGCTACAAAATCACTGACTGCAAATGTGATATATTGTTTGATTGCATTTTGAATGCATAAAAATTGGTATAAG